TAGCGCAGACGTATAAGCTGTAAAAGCCATAGCCGCGGAGGCACTCAACGCAAGCTGCAGTGGACTGAAATGGTAAGCACTTGGTATCTTGTGATTCTATGGCTTCCTTCATCGCTGGTCACTTCAATTCTTCTCTTGTGGATTTGTTCGTGCAAGAGAGCCGGGAGGCCGCGCGCTATCGGTAACCGTAACGGAGCTACGACGGAGTGTCAAGCTGCAAAGTCCCCAGCTGGCCGATATCGTTGGAAGTAGAAAGAAACGGGCAAAAATGTGTATATTTTCTACTTGCACGAGCTTTAGCTAGACGCATGGCCCGAGCGCCTCAATCATGGAGTCCATTTTTTGAACACAAAGCACGAGGAATGCCATTTGCTGTTAAAGGGCCTCTACAATAATACAAACTTTCAAGAGTAAACCAGCCAATCGAACCTGCACGAGGTATCACCACTAAAGGCGCATACTGGCTACTAATAATCGCGCCGGCGTATGAGGTTAGCTTCATTAAATTGACATTTTTTCAAAGCGCTGTGCTATGCATCAGCTTATGTGTATCCGAAGCACTAGAACAAAAACATTGAATAAGAAATTCTGCTTGTTGGGACAAATGCACAAAAGTCGATGATTTACAGTGGCCGAAGCCTGATCCTTCAGCGGCACAGGACTTTGTCAACGGCGCTGTCACTGGCGCAGTTTCGACACAAGCAATTGCTGTTGGGGGTTGCACATTTTTGGTCTGAAACAAAAACACAAGCAGCCTTTTTTGCTTGCGGCCACTGGTTAAAGTAATGGGGCCGCAAGCACAGGACTTGCGTGTACCCTTTCCTTCTTAGGTTGTGCCGACGCCTGCGACTTCGCTCCAGAAAAACCTGCAAGACAACTCACTGTATACTGCATCATGCGCGGGCCCATGCATCTGCGTTCTCGCAAAGCCAACATGCCAAAGGTTTCGGTCCAAAACACCTTGATGAAGTTAAGGGTCCCTTCAATCAGCTTCGAGGCGAGGACAAGTCTTAATGGTATCCTATAGTGGCTCCTTTTCGAGCAACAGTGAAACTTCCGTTCGCGTGTCTCCATGGATCGAACTCTTTACTTTTGAATAAGGCAGGGGCATGGGGCGAACAAATCAAGAATTGTTTGAGGGTGATCAGCACTGTACATGAAGGGCGTTTTCCTGACTTGAAAGTATTCAAAGCCGCGCTGAGCTTCTGAAGGAAAATGTTGAATGTTTTGCTCTTTTTACTCAGATGAACAGTTGTGACTGGTGGAGTATACTCGTGAGGTACGGAGCTGGAAAGTTTTTCCCACCAAAGCCCTTCTGCTCGCTGACCCAGTAATTCTAGAACTGACACAATGACATCAAATATCAGAAAACGGAGACCTAGCGTCTGGATTGCCCGATACGCTGGACGACCAGTCAGTGGACTCGTTTGGAAATGGATTGCGTGCGCCGCTAGCCGTTCTGCAATAAATGTCACCACCTCCAAATCATTCGTGGGCAGGAATGCTCTGCTAAACAGCTCGTATGCCCTCAACAGGAGTGGCATGGGTCTATCTACTGTGAACGCTGGCGTGAGGGCGGACTCCGGCAAAAATTTCCTTGCAATTCGGCTGGGGTCCACAAATGGCAAATGGCAAAAGGGGTGAAAACGTATATCTATATAAGCACCGATAAGTGCATCAAGATCAACAGCTGGCTTGCGTGAGACAATTATGTGCAGTAATGAAACCTTTTTCGCACTGCCTTCCCCCTGTGCTGCAGCACTCGTTGAAGGCTGAGCCTTCTCCTCAACCTGTCGTCTAGGCTGCTCACCGGCGTCAACTGTGAAACGCTTACTCCCCCACAGTTCTTGAAGTGCAGCAGCCGCTTGAAGTTCGTACGTACTCAACTGCCCAGCTTCACTCTTAGAACCACTGGGGAGACGCAGTGGTTGACGCTGTGCAGTTGCGACAGTTGGTTCAATAGCCCCCTTCGATGAGGTCCGTGCCGCTTGTTGCACACCTGTGTCAACACTAGATAGGTCGCTGCTACCATTAGACTCCGCCTCAACACGTGCACGTTTGGTACGAGGCTTGTGCGTGGTAGCCACCTCCGCCTTGTTGTCAGCAGACGAAATATCTGCATTTTCTGGCAAATCATTGCACCATGAGCGTTTGACATCCAACCTGGAGTTGTCATTCCCCGACAACTGCCGACCATAAGCAGGCAGTTGATTCCATTTCTTCTGACTTCGCGTACATAAGAAGATTAGCACAACAAGCGCTGCAGCAGATGCCAAGAAGGCCGCGCCACTGCGCCCGCGAGAGCTTTTACGCAAGAGGCCGCGACGGGACTGCGCACCTGATGACACTGTCTTGCCCGGATACTGCTGGAGAGCTGTACTGTTTGACTCTCCATTTTCAAAGCTGGCAGTATTTACAGGCACCTTGTCTCCAACGCCCAAATTTAGAGCCTGCATTTTTTATCGGACGGCAGAGGCTCAGCAGGGCGCTTTATTAGTCATATGTGTCCGCAGGTCCAGTACAGCGGAGATATCATTAGTGCCTGTGAGGGCATGAAGATGTTATGTTGTGGCGGTGCACCACCCTGCTGTCCGATTTCTGCATCTGAAGGGTTCCCGAGTTGAAACTTCAATATTCAAGTGAAAAATAGTTGTAGTCCTTGTCATCTGGTATAGTAAAGTGCGCGGCGCGCCAGGTGTAGACGAATAAGGGGCTGGTCTTTTAGAAGGGCGACATCTGTATCCGTTTTTGCGAATCGATTGTCTCTGTATAAGCAGTGTCACCGCGGCCAATGGACTCCACGTCTCTGTCCACTGAGTATCTACAAGGCCATGTAGTCGCCATTTTCGGGATGCACCGTGCAAATCCGATGCTGCAGCACTGCGGCCACACCCGCGGGGCGACTCCGCCAGCCACTGGTAGCGTGACGACTACAAAGAGACAGGCGAAGAAGCCAGCTCACTGAAATTCCATTGAATGAGCCTACATTGAATCAATATTTGTAATAGTTGTTAGGTAACAAAAGCTTCAAATGGAGTGTCCTGTGGATGCGCAAGTTGTGTTTGGCTTCCCTTGCCCGTTAAGGGGTGCCTCTTCACTCGACCATTGTGAAACCTGGTGACGTAGCCCTGCTCGTGCTCTAGAGCGTCCACTGGTTCAGAACTCTGTCACGACAAAATTCTTCCGACAGCTTATTTGGGTTGAATACGGTTTCTTTTTTAACGCAGGATTGCAGTGTATGTTTTGTCGAGAGAGCTTGGTTTGTTGCTGCAGCAGAAGCCTACAGAGCCCTCTGTTCTGCAACAGATCTTCACTGTACAGTAGATGAAGTTCTGTCCGGGAAAGGAAACAAATCGTGTAAGATTTGATTTTTCACTAATATTGCGTTTGTAGGGCCGTCTCACTTGCTTCGTGGCAATGTTACACGGACCCCAACAGACGCTGCACGGGTCGCCGGCATACTCGTCTCTAGAACACGTCAACTATTCACTCATTCCATTGAAAAACAATTTTTGGGGGACGCTTTTGTTTCGAATGGGAGCCCAGGTCATTGAATCTGAATTTTGTATCGCGTTTGTTTCTCTCTAACGTACACGGTGCCACTGGAGGGACTGTAAAAGTGCCACCTGCTCCTGATACCGATCTTAGAGCCTCTCACAGAAGTATACAAAATATGTTTATTGGCAGCAGGTCTCCACAATAGCTGAAATTTTGCGTGATAAAAAGATTTTCCACTATAGTAAGCATAATTTAATGGTCAGCGGGCGATAATAGGGTCCATCTACTCGGTACTCGACAGCACTCCACACACCCCAGCGGCTGCACAGATCGGCCTCGTAGAGTTCGCACTCTCTAACACACCAACAAGGCATTAAATTCGCACAATTTCCCGCAACAAGGCATTAAATTCGCATGTTTGCTGTGTCCACTTCTCTGTTGCTCACATGGAGTTACTGGTAGGGAAACGAAAATGTTGTGAGTTGCTCACAAGGATCTCGGAGAGGCTCTAGTGTGTTCGTGTGTCTTCTACAAGCTTCGCAGTACCGCCGCAGACAGTGTTGCGGTAGTGTAATAATGGGCACTAAGACTGCAACTTACATACTACCAGACCTAACATAGGTGAAACCTGCGGAAAGCTAAAAGGAGTTCCGAAAAGAACAGGTTGTTCTTGCCGAGGAAAGCGACCTCCCATTCGGCAAAAGCCCCGCTAAGAGTCACAGCCTACGAGGAGCGGTACTGCGAGGAGATTCAAGGGCTCCGTCATCCCCCTTAATTTTGTTTTCCAGCCCTCCTCAATTTATGAAGCACTGTAGTAACCTTTTAGTGTCGACACTAGAGCTACACACTAAGTAGCCTTGAATAAGATCCCCCATTAAGGTTAGCCTTTTCACTATCGTTACTAGTGTATGCGCATGGGAAGCTACCCAATGCAGCACCTTGGGGGCACAGCCTTGCCAGTACTTCCTAGTTGAACATACTTCTTCCAAGCCTGTCCTGCTCTATAAGCCTCCTTGCTGGGACGGCGTTCGCGAACCTTGGCTGAGCTTTGTATGCTCTGCTTTCAGGGCAGAGCAAGCGACTCAAGTCTCGTCCAGTGTCAGCTACTTGGCTCTTTCTAAGTTAATGTCGAAAATACCCTTCAGACATTATTGAATTACAAGTGTAGTGTTGCTGAAGCCTTTCCTCTGTGCCGATTTCAACTCATCTGCCCTTTCCTAGGAAAGCATGCCATTCCGTGCTATAGGTCGGACGAGAGCTACACAGCACAATTCAGGCAGTTAAAATATGGAATTCGGTCTAGATATCTTCGTAAAAAAATAATTCTGCGACAGGCAGCGTGTGCCTTCAATGTTGTACAGAAGCCGCCTCACCAAGATTCTAACTGGGCGCGGGTCTGTGGTCTTAATAGTTCATGCACACCCTCTTGCGTCGCTTGCAAGCCATGAATGGCTACTGGGTTCTTGATTTTTGCTAGGAATGAACGCAGTGGTTCACAGTAGGCCTTGCAACGCTCTCCTTGGCAAACGAATGCCACAACCACACGAACACGGGGACGAATATCCTAGAATGGTATCTTGCTCCTCATTTAGTGCATCATTCATTAAGTAACAGGACGACGTATCCGCTGCTCATGCGAGGCTGCGTCTCAAACGGAGCTCATTGGTAGGGCCCACAGCCCAAGCTATGAAGACTTCCTGGCCATGACTCGCAGGAGACTTTTTCAGTCTGAAAACAAGAGCGGGCACTTTTACACCAACAAGAAACGTGTTGGGAAGAGAGAGAACTGGAGAAGTCAAAGAGTTTGCGACAGTGTTCCCAGCCCAGTTTTGCCGGCTGGCCCAATGTTGCCACCAGTTTGAAAACCACTGGGTGCCTGTTATTCTTTCCCTCCGCCATACTTAAACGACGCCTGACACAGTTATTTACTGCAGGTGTTTGCGAGTCTTGTGGACTAGCCTGCCTGCAGGAGGATTACCGTCTTATTCTTGTCGGCAGAATGCCGCGCCCACAGCTGGCTAGCTTCTAGCAAGCTTTGTCTTTTCAGCAACCCGAGCTCCAAACAATAAAGTGAGCGAACAAGCGCAACTCAAATAAGTATTTAAACTTGAATGGTTTCGCAGCTCTACAGGCTGGAACTGAGAAGCCTGCACACTTGGGGTGTGGGCTCAGTAGCCTTTCAAGCTGCCCAAGGAGTTGTTGCGAGGCCTACGTGGCTCCAGACAAGCCTCAACTTATCGTTCGATAGCAGTTTTTTTGTTTAAAAAGTACCTGTAAAGACAATTTGACTGACGCGACCCTGTCCCGGGGCTTGCCTTTCAGGAGATCAAGTGTTGGACTACACCCCTGCAGGAGCTGTCTCCGGTCACAAATCCATGGGTCATGGACCATCAGACCCTTGCGCGGCCTTCAGTAACCTACAGGAACACAGCAATTTAAGAACACAAAAACTTTTACCCTATGATGCTCTATTGGTAGTAAAGCTGGTAGGCAGATCCCCAAATGTGTACTGAAAGAATGAGCGGCCGGCAATGCATGTGTAATCACAATTCATGGAATGCAATTGAGCGTCTCTGGGTTTATAGTCCCAGTACCACCACTCAATAAAGATTACGTTTCTTTTGCTCAGGCGTACTTCAATTTTTCTTACTCAAAACAAAGCAGTTGTGCTTCGAGCACGCCTGGTGGAGTGTGGGGTTTGTTTGTTTACCCGCGCGTTGCCGCCATTTCCCTGCCACAGTGCCGAGCCAATGATAGTTTACAAAGCGAACAAATGTAGGGCTCCTGAGTTGATGGGGACTTCTTACGCCACCTCTGTTGGCTATGTATGCCCTCTTCTGCCCCTGGTGAGAGAGCCGCGGCTCTCTCATTCGTCTCTGCTTTAGGTAATACACTTTACCTCCCCAAAAAAATTTTTTGGTCTATAGGCAACTGAATACTGTGTTGCACCATTTAAGCAGTTGGAGTCACTCCCTAGCCTCACCGAGAGCAGGTCTCCAAGGTTTTGAGCCCTAGAGGCAGTGCTATACTTCTACAGGGAGACATTCCTCTGTCATAGTATGAAGATGTCCTGACTATGATGCCTCACAGTACTACAAGCAGTCCAGCCCAATCCTTTGTTGCATATGATGCAGTAATTGGGAGGAGCAAGAGAGGTAGTACCTTCAGATAGTGCAAGCTAGCGGAAAGGCTAAGCCGCTGCTGCGCAAAGCGCCAAATGTTCATCAGTGCACACTACTGCAGACAAGAGACAAACTTCCACAGAGTTTTTGAGGACTTTTTGTGCTCATATTGAGATTCAGGAGCTGTGAATGAGTTCCCAACTGCGTGAGGGAGCTGCATTTTTCGGTGAAAAATAACATCTTTGAAAGAAGTCAGCAAGCCGCTCATATGAAAACGTGCTCGCCAGTCCAAGCCGATGCTGTTCCTGTCGGCCAGCAATCGAAGATCGAGCAGCACAAAAACTACCTCACGTATTAGACTGAAGCTGTAGGCCTCATAAAACTCTTCTTGCCAGTTTTCGCGGATGATCTAATCCTTTTGAAGAAGCCGTACAAAAAGTAAGCACTTGCGCACGCACATGGAACAAACATATACTGCCAGAACCTAGCTGCATTAGAAGATTAAGCTGGAACATACATGATAACCTTCAGGATTGCTCCGAATAAAAGAAGAGAATGCAGCTTCTAACTCTGCAACATAAACATGTGTGGAAAAGTAGAGCAACCTCGCTCTCTCCATTTACAAACGTGAAACTAACACTTTGAGTCTGCCCAGTATTTATCCTGGTCTCCAGCTCTCGCACACAAGCTATCTAATCCCTACAGATGCGTTGCCAGGCACAGCGACTTCTCTTGCAGAAATTCCTTCCAGGTATTGGAACAACAGACAAAGGGCCTCTTCGGCCTCTGCCTCCACGCAGGCCGCTCTTCACGTGCCTTGTGCATCCATGCACTTTGAAATCTCCTGGAAAATACCTAAATCCTACTTTCTGTCTAATGCAATGAGCCTCCTCTACCAAAATCGATAGCACGCATTCCCCCACAGACGCAGCACTCAGGGCATATTGAGCAGTACAGCCATATCGTCTTCTGTTTACAGTGAGCACTGATATTTATGTGATGACAATTCTTCGTAGATATACTCCCCGAATTCAAATGTCTGGGATAAAAAGATCACAGCTTTTTCTGCCTGGACAGCTGTAACCAACGTTTAGAGAAGTCCCATGGGGCTGTTGCTCACCCCATCGTCGCCAAGGGCTTATTTGGATACGGCTGCAGTACCAAAAAGATTTTGCGGAGTTCTTGCTGTTTCTCTTCTGCATTCAGCATTTTTACTTGGTAACCGCACAACGACACAAATTTTCTTGCAATCAATACAGCTGAAAATGGGTGGGTACTGTCTGCCTTCTTCATAACAGTGGGCGACTGGTGCATGCGTTCTTGACTGCCATTCCACTGTTTTAAACGGAATTAAGGGCCGACAGGTTTCATATATCACAGCTCTTAAAGGTTGTGTGTTAGTGAGGGGCCGTTAATCACGTTCAGACGGATTAGCGGCTTTCTGTGGAGCACCCCACACTGGTCTACAGGGAACTCGAGTCTTCGACCCAACAGGAGCGCACGTTCTGTGCCGCAGCGTACATGTGTATCTTCACGCAGCTGTCTGCTTGTTTTTTCCGGTGTTTGACTCAGGGAAAGTTCACGGCTCCCTTGCTCGTGCTGGTAAGGTCAAGAACCAGACACCTAAGGTGCAGAAGCAGGAGAAGAAGAAGCCAGTGACTGGCCGTGCAAAGAAGCGCCAGCTGTATAACCGTAGATTCACCACAACTGTGGGCCGCAGAAGAGGCCCCAATGCTCAGTCTCCTTGAAGTGTAGCATTTGGTGTTCCAATCCAATCAACAGGGTTTCGGCAATGTAGCATGCACATCTGGCTTGCCTGCCAGTTGTTGCATGTGCTGTTTTTACAAAAGGAACGCTAACGTCGTTTTTCAAGCCCTGAACTGGCCATTCTTCTTTATGTTTCGTCATCACTAGCTCCCATCCTGGAGACAAGAAACCAAAATCATTAGACCTGAGTTTCTGTGCCACCTGCAGCTTGGTGGTTTTGCCAGGCGTTGCTTTGGTGTCCTGTTCTGGGACATGGAAGGCAGTTCTGTTTTGAAGCACCTGAAGGGCATGGCAGCCATCGTGATGCCGATAACGTGCTTAGGGAGGGATTAGATGGATGGACAGCTAGGGCAGATGAGGAGTTTCTTAAGGTTGAGCTTCAAGAGTGGCAGAGTGCTTCAACAGTTAGGCGCATTCAGTAAACATAAGTGTTTGGCTCTGTAGGCTTGATATCGTTTGCGGTAGCGCGACAGAGTTTAGGGAAGAAGTTGCTGGACTGTGCAACCCGACTAGTTTTCTAAATTAACGAAGGGTTGTACGGCGAGTTTGCTAGTGGCGGTGTCGTTCTTGCCGGTGTTTTCGGCAGCTAAGGAAGGATCCTTGAGCACAGGCCTTCAGTTCACTTTTTGTTTCTTCAGCGTCCCGCTCGGCGGCGAGCAGTTTGCGCTCTTCCTGCTCTTCGGCAAAGGCTTGTTTCGCGCTCCCCTCTTCCCCCTCCGGAAGCGTCTCCTGCCGCTTTTGCGTTTCTTCAACAGTGCGGGCCCCAGCACGTTCTGGAAAGGCCTCTTGTTCCTCTAGTTCCTTAGCAGGGGCAGAGGCCTCAGCGTCGTCTTCATCATCATCCCCGTCTAAGGCCGAGGTTGCTTCCGCAGCTCGTGAAGCGGCGAAACGCGCCCGGGCTAACCCAATTGCAGCGTGAATATCTCCACATTGCTTTGTTTCCTGCTGGCACTTGCCTTGTATAGTTTGGCGCTGGTTAGCGTGGCTAAATGATTGCTGCTGATGCTCCTCGGGAGACTGCTGCAGGGTTTTTGCTTGCTTTGCCTCTTCTTCTGTAGCTTCAACTGGACTCCTATGTCCTGGTTCGTGCTTTGATTTGACTATCTTTGCAGAGAGTGCCTGGATGCATGTTGCCCTTGCCTGTGTTATGTGAACTGTTCTTGGATTTGGTTTTTCCTTCGCGCCCACTTTCCTCCTCAGCTTCATCTTCTTCTGTCTCCGAATGCTTCTTTCCACCTTTGGAATGCTTTCCGCGTCCTTTTTTGTTGTTAGACTTGGTAACGCTAAGTGTTTCCTTATTTCTGCTGTCGTCACCATCTTCCTCCGGCTCATTTGTAGTTCCTTCGTGACGAGCACGGGACTTAATATTTTTGCTAGACTTGGTAAATCCAGTTGTTTTGTCGTCTTTCACGTCATCATCATCTTCATCATCTCCCTGGACACTTGAGGAGAACGATGGATCATTTGTCTCGTCGTCATCCGGGTCTTCCACTTGTGCCTTAGAGCTTTGCTCGGCTTCCCCAGCTTCCTCAAAAGATTCACCGAAATATGCTGAATCGTCTCCACCCTTGAATGGAGAGCTGACTGCATTTTCAATATCATGTAGTGCCTTTGCTGCACTATTTTCATTAGCTTCCGCATCCGCTTCTTCATCTAACACTTCTTCTGCTGAGTTATCCCGTTTTTTGCATTCGCCTTTGCACTGCTCATTCCCATGTGCCTTCTGTTTTCCTGCCTTCTTAGACTTATTGTGTTTCTTTTTGCCTTTCTCTTCAAATGCTGCGTTGCTGGCGGAACTTTTGTAACTGCCTTCTAGATCTTGATGACCAGAACTTCTATCAGCTGACTCTGAGGCCTCCCCCGTGGGAAGCGCATAAGGCGCTGCATTTTTGGAATGCGCATTTGCCTTGACTGCGCCTCTGGTGATTTTGCTCAAATATTCAATCGGGTTGACTGCGGAGGGTAGCGAAAAGCCCAAGAGAGGATATTGCATCAGCGCCGCCACTTCTTCACGCGACTTGTTTTTACTACCTTCTTGCTGAAGCCGCACTGATTTGCCCGCCTAAGACGCTGCATTAAACGCACACGCATATGACGTCGAGCTTTGTGGATCATACTGGGACACGTTTCTCGGCCTCCCGTAGGAGGTGATTCTCTTCCTCGAGGTCCCTCTACATGCATTCAGCAGTTTTCGTTAGCAGCACACACCAAAAGGATTCTCTGCCCTACTTTTGCTGAAGATTCGGCTTCTTTCAAAAGCTCCAGCTCACGATCCTTTTCTTTAATTTCTTCTTGGCCATGTTCCTAGCACAAATGGGGAGGCTATATGCAATATTTATGAGAAAATTATTCTGCCGGACTTGAATTTCTTTCATAGTCGCATCGTGCCGATTGCTTTGCTTTGCCTTAATGTCTTCAATGTCTTGAGCACGCTTTTTATGAAACTGTGATTCTTCTTGAAGCTCTCCTGAAATAGCATTTATGATTCTCTGGGATGAAAAATGCCGCTCTGCGAGACTTACGTGCTTCCCCCAAAATCAGTGCGTTTGCATCCACCAGGTCCCCTCTTCTGGAATTTATTCCATTATTTCTTCGTAGGGCTCTATCAGTTTCCGCTGAGACGCAATCCAAAGCTTCTACAGTGCTTTGGATAGGTGGTTCGCTTGCAATTTGCAGGTGAAGACTGTCTGCTGCCGAACGGCCGTTGCGATTTCCCTGATTGCGGAGTTGTGATGCCTCCCCATATAACATAAACACAACCACCCACAGATGTACTAACTGAACTACGTTCGAAAAAGTCATTGTAACACACGTACACCGATGAGTACCAACAAGGTCTAGATCTTCACTGGAGTGCAGCATTCGTAACCAGGTCGCCACTTTCGACAAGAGCTGTCAGTACAGACCGTGTAAAAAGGAAATCCGCACACTGAAATGTGTTTTGCTAGGAATGTTTACCGTTTTATGATTTATATTGCTGATATACGGCATTTCCTGGGATACTTTTTCGTCACTCTTGCGCCAACGGCACTCCAGTTGCACAGCGGAATTGAGAAGAAGCCAGGCTTGTTAGTTGATGAAGTGGTGATAAACAACTCTTTTTTGGCAATGCCAGGAGCTGATGTATTACTTTTCGTTAATACTGTGCCGGCGTGCCGGCGACTATGGGAGAAATGCCTGCTTCTGAGTTCGTGTTGCCGGCGTTGCCATAACTTAGGAACAAAAACGCTTGCATTATGGCGGAAATGCAATGTTTATTATTTTGCTCATATTTGTGAGTAATGATCCGCGAGTCATTACAGCAGTGAAGGCTCACAATTGACTCCAGACCAGTGACCTTCACATTGGCTTCGGAAGCGAATTGGGTCGTCTCTCATGAAATAAATCTTAATGCTTTTCAAAATGCATTAAACTAGGTATGAAATGGGAAGCTGTGACAAATATAGGGCTGAGATGAGCACCATTACCGTGGAGGTGGGACGAAGCCACCGTCTTTGGAACCCATTCAAGGCTGGAATACAATTGGTAGAGCAACACTTCATGAAATATATGAAATCTTCATTTTTTCAAACTAAAAAAATTGTGGTATACAAAAAATCTATTTGTCGGAGATGAAGCCTATCTGCGTCTATTTGCTTGCGCCTATCTGCAAGGCAGTGGTCGATCACTTGCCGCGAACCCCCGCAACACGAAGCGCCCTGCGCAGGTTGACCGCCCCTTGTCCGTGCCCGTCAGGTAGCAGCAGAGATGAAAAGGAGTAAACAACTTGCTCAGCTGCTACCAGAAGGTTGAAAACATACTTGTTGCGGCGCTAGCAGCACTGCAATCGCTGGACCATCAGGTTTAAAGGAGTTTACGCCACAAGGGCAGCCCTGAATTGTCGCCTTCGGGTAGTCCATAGACCAGTTTGAACTAACCAGGTAACAAACATGCTTGGTATAAGCCGTCGCAAGGCATTTCTGGCCTGTACGGCCACGGCCATTCTCGCCCAAGGTCTCGTTTGCTGCTCCCCGGTCGCCGCGTTAAGCAACTCTGCCTCAACAACCCCAGCACAGGATAATCAGGAAAATAGCTATGCAGCAGTGGCAGCCGGCAGACCACATGGCTATGCTCCGACACCAGCCTTTCTTGAAGGTAAGAAGCCAGGATTTCAGGTTGCCGCTCTGGACAACCAAAGCCAGGACATTGCCTCCGCCTCCGTCGAATCATCCACAAACACCACAGAAACACCTCAACATGAAGCTACCGCCGATCCAGCCCCATCTCAAGGACTGGAATCTTCTGTTTCCCCCGATTCAGCTGGCCACGCAGAAGGTCAGCGCCCCACCGCAGTTGCCGCGAGACGCCGACTGCAAGGTACCGTGGCAACTGTGGGCCCACAGAAATCTCCTTCGGAGCACAAGTTTACTGCCGGAGTCCCACACCGTCGTTTGCAGCTTCTGGCCGGCCTCTCGCAGCTAACGCAGCTCCCGCATCTCAGCCCACTGCCGAATTTGTTTGGCAGTGGGCTAAGCGCTCGCGACAAGGACCTGCTGGAAACCTTTTCCAGGAGAGTCGGCACAAGCAGGGAGCGCTTATACAGAGATTTGATGTTTACAACTGGAGCGAAAAGTCTCGGGATGGATGAATTTTCAGTGAAACAGCTCGTGGCGAAGGTCGGCCTTGAGAATATTTCTACTGGCCATATCCCCTCCTCGGTGCATCTTTCCCACCAAGAGTCCCGTGTGCTGGAAGCAGCAAGACGCAGCCATTTTGGTGTCGAAAGAATCATTGCAGCTTATGAAAGGGAAGTGGCTCAGCACGCGAAGACGCTTCGTCGTGGGCTGGAGGCTAACGTGGACAACCCGGCACTTCGCTCGAAAATAGCTTCTATTGCTTCCGATAATCTCTTTAAGCGCCCTAGAGACGTTATCACTGTGCGTCGCCTTCAAGAGTCCCCTCGAATAAGACGCCTTGCAGCTTTACTGCAGGGCTCTGGCCTTCTTGGTACTGCTGGCTCCCTATTTCGCTCGATGGACCCGTCAAGCCTTCCACATTCTCTAAGTGCTGGCCTTGGCGGACTTGGTCTTCACCATCTGAATCTGCCCAACATTGGAGCTCTGGGACACCACAGTGGCAGTGCCCAAGGGCCACTCCCTATTACTGACCTCAGTGGCCTTCAGCAGGCACTCCAATCTATATTCCCCGCGTCTCAGCAGGTAACTGCCATATCTGGCCCTCTTCGCTCCTTCCAGCAAGGCGTTGAGACAGCGACAGACGGCGCAATCGGATCATTTTTGTCTAGAGAAGGTCTGCTGCCCTTCTTGTCGATTGATGCGGCTAAACAGATGCTGGGTGGCCTTTTAGGAGGTGAGGTGGCTGGCCCCAATGGGCTAACAGACTGGAAGGACTTGGGGCTTTCACCTGCTGCAGTGAGTGGGCTGTCCGCTGCTATGCCGTTTGACACATTCCTCAACAAATTCACGTCACTTGCTCAAGAAGTGGACTCTGGCGTTGGAATTATGAAGAGAGAAGCCAAAAAAAGGATTGGCGCACAAGGCTTTGCCATCCTTCCAGACCAGTTGAATCAAGTTGATAACATCCTAGATAGGCTTGTCTGGGGCACCTTAAACACCCCCGTAAGAAGGCTGCAACAAACGGAAGCAGCAGATATGGCCCTGGGTGAGCCCACTCAACAGATAACGCCTTCTGAAGGGGCTAACCAGCATCAAGTACCCTCTCCCGAGGAGCCGAAGACCGAAATTAGTCCAGTTGCCGATGCTGGGCTCCCAGCAAAAGAGCCCACTCCGCAAGTGACGGAAGCTCAGGTGCTGCCAACGAGCACACCAGAGCATCTTGCAACTCCTCCACAACAGGTCCAATTGCCATCGTCATCTCAGCAAGAAGAGCAGCTCCAGCCTGTTCCTGATCCTGCTCAAGCCGCTTCCAATACTGAGCAATCTACTTTGAAACCCGAGCAGCCAAGACCCGAACCTGAGACTGCTCCGGAACAGGAACAGCCTTCTTCGGAAATCAATACGCCTAGTGCCGGGACTGAGCCTCTCCCAGATCATGCTCAGCAAACAACAGTGGAGAAAAGCGATGACACTCAGCAGCAGCAGCAGCAAGCTGCGGGGAGCACTACGCAGCAAGCTGCGGACAGCACTACGGCTGTAGATGATTTGGTGAACGCCCTACTTGATGAAAATGTGGGTGAGGAGGACCCGGAAGATGCAATTAACGCCGCGTTGCAGCGGGTTGAGCTTCTAGCCGATGCCGTTACTGTGTTGCTAAGCGAATACGAGAGGGCAGTAGAGCATCTTCAAGACCTTCTAGACGACCAGCTGGACACAGCAGAAGAGATTCGGGAGGAGCTGGAAGAGCAAGTGAAGGACCTAAAGAGTCAGGTTACAGCTGCACAGCAGACGAAGCAGGAAGGGACAGCTACTGCAGCTGCTGAGGTTGCTAAGGCGTACGATGAAGCGATGGAGAGCTTCAAAGCTTCTCTTGAGGGCTTGCTAGAGAAGCCTCAGGCAGAGCAGCCTCTTTCCCCTGCACTGCAGGGAGATATTTCAGGTTTGGCCGCAAAAATTGAAGCTGCTGCGGAGGAAAAGCTGCCGCCGCTTGTGTCTGCTCACTGAGAAACTTGTGGGTGTCTATAAGCCTTCAAGTCAGACGGCTGGTGCGTCAAATCAAGTATGCATCCTTCTGGTCAGTTTAAAGCGTTTGCATGAACAGGGCTCAAGCCTAAGCTATAGAAACGGGGTCCTGTGATGGTTCAAAGGCCCACGCATGCCTTTGGAATTCTGCAGTCAGTTTAGCCTGCGTTTGGAGGACAGGCTGTTTATCCTTCCCAGTACTGGAGTCAATCAAGTTTACAAGTGCTTGTTAAGTCAAGGATGACTCGTAGCATGGCAGGCTAACTAGCAGAGCAGCTGCTTGCATGATGGGTACAACGGCTTGTGCACAATTTCCTGAGGAGTTAGCGTATTTCTGCTCTATTATAGCTCTAGAGCTCGACATCAGATGAGCATGAGGCCAAGAGCTTCGACCTCCCGCTGTCTCTCCCATGACCCAGCCTCTCTCTCAGTTCTAACACTGCCTGGAACATTTTTCTAACGAAGTATGGTGCCATATGGCCAAAACTTTAGTCTTCAAATTGTACAGACCTAACCAGGACCTTAAGGGGCGGGAGAGTAACTTCTACCCCCGCAGAATCGGAAGCCGTAATGCGGACTACAACCCACGAAAGACCGTCCTGCTGTCTAGGTTGATTCATCTGCCGCCGAAGCCAGGCTTCTTTTCTTTGGCCGTGACTGGCCAACAGAGTCGCCCCTCGTAGTGACTGTCGCAGTGCCTCGGCGAGCTTAATTCTTGGATTGATGAGAACCTTTCGCTGCCGTACTCCAAACAGCCTCGCTATCTTTGGCGGTAGCGTGCTCTGCTGCTGTTGCTGCAGAAATTTGCCATCTTGTGGGGCAGCGTAAAGGAGGGCTTCCTTGCATGTTAGAGACACAACACGAAAGCCTGTATCCTTCTCTATGAGGTCCACAAGATCTGCAACTGTAATCGCCTCTGATGCTTCTGCTTCTCCTGCGACGACTCCTTTGCCTATAAGCGACTCAGTGGTGCTGTTCAGTGCGTGGCCACGGACACGCAGGCGGAAAAAGTCCCACGCGGAAAACGGTTGACCGCACCGCCGGCCGCTGGGAAAAAGCTGCGTTGGTGGTTCGAGAGGAGGCGCTTCAGCCAGGAAGGGTACTGAAAGTGAGAAAAAGCTATTGCGCAGATGCTGCAGTCGTGACTGCAAGGCTGTATGCCCTTTCCAGCAGGTCCCGGTGTCCAGCCAGATGACAGGAAGCCCACTTTGCTTGTCCCGTACGTGTTTCTGCTGCTGCTGTTCTCGCCGCTGCTGCAAGCGCTGGCTTGTGCGTGAACCTGCAAGACCTAGAGCGACCAGTCTGTATACCTCAAGGCAGGCAAGTGCTGCAGCAAGGGTTGTCGATGTGGCAGTTGCAGGGACTATGCGGCCTATCAGCTGCTGCGTTTCTTCAGGGCCCGGTAGCGGCTTCAGCCCGAAGGCTCTGCATCGCAGCCGCGCTGCAGAGGTCAGAAAACGGAGGGGAACGGCATAGTCAGCCGAAAGCGACAGTTTTGCAGGAGCGCTCAAGGCATAGTTGCCTGCTCGTTCTACCGCTTGCACATCCCTCATCAACGCCTCAGCGAGAGAAGCAAGACTGGCACTGTTTTCTGTTTGCGCCAACAATTCACAGCTGTCTAACGATGTCCTTCGAGCTTGGGCCTGTGACAATTGCACAAGGTGCCACAGGGCACTTGCTACGCACTGGCGGCTCCAAGGCCCAGTCCCTCTTCCTTGCAGCAATAACTCGTGTTCTTGTTGCTGTTGCAAGGCGGCTGCTGCGTTTGCATCTGCGCACGCCAAAGACGGCGTCATCCCGGCAACAGGTTCATAGCCAAGGGTGGCTGCAAGCAGCTGCCCAGAAGCACCAACAAGGTCAAGTGTATCTGCATCTGTAAAGTCCAAAGGCATAAGCATTTGCTTAGAACATTTTATTTCGACCGCTTCACCCAAAGGTTCATCAGACGCATTTGAAAGTTTGCCTTCCGTCTTTTCGCGAGCGACCCTGCGAAATAGAACGCCAAATATGGACAATGAAAGCAAAAGAAGTCTTAGGTGCGTGGGTGACAAGGGAGAGATTTCGTTTCGAGCCATCGCCTGCTCTCCTTGATGCTGGAATGGCAGCTGCGGCTGCTCCAGCGGCTGCGGCTCTGTCTCCGTCGTCTTAATTTGCTGAGCCTTCAAGATCTCACGGGCAAGCAGCAGCAAAAATCGGAGCTGCAACCGTCCAGCTGCGGCAGCAGCCACAGCAGCAGGAGCCACGCCCAAAATGCGAAGGGCTTCTTGGATGTCAGTGTTATTTGGGTCCAGAGCAGCGCCACAAGCTGGGGAACGAGCTCCTGCATCAGCTCTCGAAAGCCCTTGCCCAGCAGCGCTAGTGCCTGCAGGTACATGCATTTTCTGTTCAAAAAGCTGCTGGAGAAGCACGTGAGCAGCAGCGATATCGTTTCTGAATCTCTGCTGGAGCTGATCTGAGGCCCAGTGCACCGCGTGAAATGGAGCAGTCGGGGCTCCTCGAACAGAACAAACGGGAACAGCCGACAAAGAGTTTGCTGCTGGAGAGGTACTGACGCCTCCTGTTGCTGCGCCGTAATGTTCTGTCAGATGCGGCACCATGCTCTGTGCGTGACCTAAAGGGACACACAAACCGCGGCTACATGCAGTGCCACTTTCCAGAAACCCGCGAAAACACTGGGGCTGTAACTAGAACAACAAAATAATGCATTAATGGCCGCAACGCAGAGAAATAAACAAGCCGATGCATGCAGCTACATACAAAGCAGAGGCAAGCTATGGCCAGCACTGAGTAAGAACAATAGATGCAAACGGGAGCAGCGACAGTAACCACGGCAGACAAATGATGGGACTGGGTAGAAATCAAGTGGGAAAACGTTTTCACGCAATCTACAAACAGGTGAAGAACGCGTCAACAATGCGCAAAAACTAGTGAATGGAAAGTCCGCAGCGGTTGCACACCTCTAAGACCGAGGGTGCCAGCCTCCACCCACGGCTTGGAATGAAGTAAACAAAGTTCATCAACGTATAAACGAGCATTTACTGAGTCCAAAGCAGCCACCATCAAGTCCTGATCTTGAATATACATCGGTGGAAGGCGCCAGAGGGTGTGCGGAGACAGCTGTAGCAGCCGCATAATGCAAAGCAGGAATCCGCAGAGGCGAAATACTCCACATGCCCATCGCTTTTGGGTATATATTCAAAAGCAGCAGCATAAAATAAGCCTACGCAGTGGAGCATAGAACGTTCGATGAGCAAGCAGCTGCTACTGTCCGATAGAAAGACAGAGACGGAAAACGTCTCAACAGGGCCACAACATTATCAATGGCAGTGTCAATAGCGTAAAGAGCAGTGGCAAAACGTGAAACGATAAGGATAAACTTATTAAATCACTCCCACACACGGAGGAAGTAATATGCAATTGAAGCTTACCATGAATGGGAATGCCTGCAAGCGCACGCGGCTGCAGAGACGGAGGGCTGCAGCAGCAGCGGCAACAGACTTGGGCTGCTGCAAAGATGCCACAGTAAAGAGAACTTGTCTGCTGAGGTTTGACATCTCCACGGTGTCCCCGTCCATCAAAGACAATAATCCGCCTTGGCAAGTCTCTACGCCAGGAATCGCCGCTGCAGGTCTTGCTGTGGCTGGTGCCGCTGTTTGAACTGTTGTGAGAGCAGCTCCCTCAAGCTCTACGGATTTTAATCCGTACCTGCACGCCATAAGCAGCTGTGAAATAATAGAATGCTTCTTTTTCTTTGGCGTGTCTCTGATAAAGCTCCCGCCGGAGTTCTGTTTGCAGCTTTGGAACTTGTTGTTGCTCTTATGGGTATCTTTGCAGTGTGTAGACACGCCCATGAGGGCAAAATTTTTGAGCACTTCACATCCAATAGCGCCAGCTCCCACTAATAGGACTCGCAAATGGTTTAAACGGCTCTGCAGCTCCGCTCCTAGGAGTTGCTGCTGTCCCTCCCAAGGAAGAGACTTTGCATGCACCTCTACGGAATCACATCTCTCGGGCCCTGCGGCATCTACGTTGGTTGCAGCACACACTGCTGGCCCACTCGCTAAAAGGCAATTTGTTGTTAGATCTCTCTTGTTACTGCTTCTGTTGCTGTTGCTGCTGTCCTCATTGCTGCTGGTGCCAATAACCCTGCTTCCACGAACAGCGCCACCGTTAATGCCTCTGTGCTTGATTAGTTCCAGCAATTCCAGAGCATCTAGCACGAAAGGTCCCTGCAGAGGCCGATACTTCCGAGTAAGACCCTTCAGCGCTTCCTGAGCTGCCAGGGCGCCTGCGACAGACACAACCAAGTACGACTTCTCAATAGAGCACAAATGTAAATCCGATGCGAGAAGAACACAACGCAGGACGTGCAACACCGTAAATAGAAATACATGAGCAACCTACCCATTGCGGCTGCGATTGGAGCAATGTGACCCCTTGAGCCCTTTGCCATGAGGCCTCCTACACGCCCAGCCACTGCCTCTCCCTTCAGAAGCGCAGCAGAAGCTGCTGCTTCTGCAGCAGCCTTGACTGCGACTGCGGTCTGGTTAGAAGCCCTTGCCGCCGCTGCTGCGCCTGCAGCCGCTGAAGCTGCCACAGTCGGCCCATATCGCCGCCTCCAGATAGAAGCTGCACGTTCTGCAACACGACGAGCACTAGGAATACGGCTAGCGCTCCAGCTTCTGAGACTCCCAGCTGCAGCTGCCGCTGCTGTGGAACCTGCCTCAGCTGTTGATCCAAATAGTTGGGCTGGATCAGTGCTCACAGCTTGTCCCTCACTCTCTGCTGCATCAAGGGCTTCAAATGCAGAAGTCAGGTACTGTTGCTCCTCATCAGCTGGCAGGTGGACTGCCCGACGCTTCGGCGGCTCTAACTGCTGTATTGACTCTGGGAGAAACAGAATGCTGCTCAACGGGTAAAAACTTAGGCGCCCAGTTTGCGGTTCCTGCTGCCGTTCCTGTTTCTGTGGCTGCGCATGCTTGTGTAGAAGTGATGCAAGAGCAGCTTCTTCGCTCACTGCAGAAAATGTGAAATTGCCAAAGTCAACGGCGATTCGCCCGCTGAGGCCAGCTGTGGAGACCGCCACTACAAGTGGGCCACTCCTCAGCTCTTGTTTCTGTTCTAGCTGCCCTCTTCTCACTCTTTGCTGCGCCCTCAGTTTGCGAGCTACAGACGAAAAGAATATATTCTGTTGCAGAGGCCTATCACAGAGCAGCAGCACATCGACATGCTGAAGCAGGTTCTCCACACGCCTGCGCCATGCAGCCACCGTCTCCCCAGGCCGAATGTGTAAAGACACCTCAGCGACGCGAGCATAAGGAGCTTTAATATGCTGAAGAGCTGCACAGGCGATTCTAGCGCGATTCATGGGCTGCGCTTGCTGCTGCTTGGGAAGCTGTCGAAGACAGGCAGATAGTCCAGTCTGATGTCTTTCGAAGCGGCCTGAAGAATCACAAGGCGCTGAATTGGTGGCACTTCTGGCAGCAGTAGCTGCAGCAGTTTCATCTGCAGTTGTTGCCACTATTTCTTGTTGCTCCTTGTGGCCAGAAAGGGCAAAATTTGCCGCTCTCTCTTCAGGGGCCGGCGCCTCAGGGTCCACCAGAAGAAGGCAGCCAACCCCTGATTGCAACAAGCACTTGGCTGCCTCGACCGCCACTGCTCCAGCACCAATTAACAAGACGCGTGATCCGGGAAGCACCTGCTGCTGTTCAGGGCCCCACACCAGAAGCTGCCTCGAAAGCAATGAACGCAAAGAGAGGCTTTCTCTCCCTGGCAACGCAGTTACGTCAACTGAGCTGCCTTGTCTCGGCGGCTCGAATTCAGGTGGAGAAGAAAATGCAGCGTCTAGAGCATCGTGAGCATCCAAGGGGAACGATGGGGGCCTCTTCGGCAAAACAGTTTTGACATCTGCGCGTGGCTGCTGTGGCGACCATTTGGCGGCTGCGTGTGTTCCCTCTCTCGGTGTTACTAATTGCCGTTGTCCCAGTGCAGCAGCAAGGGGAAGGTATGATGAACTGAAAATGGGAGGATAACACGGAGGCTTCGCACGCACTGTGTGGCTAGAGGCTGCCGTAATGCCGCCTGTGTGAGCAGATTGCTCATTTGTCCAGCAGCGGCGGAGAGCTTTTACATCAGAAAGCGCATATATAGATACGAGAAGCAACAGCGGTAGCAGACATGGTGGCGGACGGCTGGCTAGGCGCCTATGCTTCCGCATGTTGTGCCTTCTTGCGCGTTGATAGCATCTCTCGGCTCGACCTGAGGAAGCAGCTGGGAGCGAATTCGTTGTTCCTGCCGCTGCAGTAGCTAGGCCAAGCCCGCTCAATTCCCTGTAGGGAGGCAGACAAACAATAGAGGCTCAGCCGCCGATTTGTCTGTGCTTCTGGGGATATGTTTAAAACATTGCAATGATATGAACCCCTCAAGGCTCGACTTCCGCGCGTAGCTTCCCTTCTCCGTATACATGCAGTAGCTACTGCATATGCAGACACTAAGGAATATCGCCTATGAGAACTGCAGCATCTTTGGACGGTGACTGTCCACAAGCTGTTGCCGCTTTAGTCGTTTTCCTTTTTCTTGAAACCGTAAATTTTACCTTAGGAAAATTGATACTCGAATAAATTCATTGTGAAAACACGTGAACAGACAACTTCGTCACAGCAGGCGGTCTGAGTTACTCTTGGAGGAGCAGTGGGTCCTATCGGGCTTCATGCAGCAGCATCATCAAAGACCCTCTATGGTCGGTTGTTTATTCGTTTGCTAATGTTTTTTTATTCCACGATACATATACCATCTTTAACGGCCATCCTCGAAGCAACAGCATTGGCGTCTGCGACACCGTGGGGTTGCTGCTTAGACCTATTTTCCTCAGCGAAGTATCGGTTTCCCAAATCTTCTGCTTGATATTCATTTGTAATGCTGTTTGGAGCAGCAGCAACAATTTCCGCCGCTGCTGCAGCGTAGGTCGTCAGCGGCAAGACATAACGGAAAGCAGGGAACTGGTTGCTTTCGGCCGTGTACCGCATTACCCGACACTTTCAGATCACGGAGGCATCAGCAGCTCAGCTAAAGTCGGTGTAAGTGAAGCACGGCATGGTGCACGGCGGCAAATTCCGTTGTGGCATCAAACCACACCCCGTGAGCCTCGTTAAGTTCGTCTAAAATATCCAAACGCTGGCAACTGCTGAAGGACTCCTGATTGTAGAGAGCTCAGCACCAGGTGCCAAACAAAGCCGTCCACACGCATGCGCCGCAGCAAACTCAGGCCGCATCAGGAGGTGCTGCTGCTATGTGTTGCTGCTTTTGGCCATAATGCGCACAGGACGTCTTCCTCCGGAGTTAAAACTGCTGTGCTGCCGTACGCCACGGGGTGCAGCATGGGTCGCAGTACTCTACCTGCGGCTCCAACGAGGCAGCAGCGACACCAGCAGCGAGTGCTGCCTACTTCAAGGTTAGAAGAAGGCCATCCCTACGCGGCTGAGCCCGTGAGAATTGCCGTGCTGCAGGCGTGGCCTTACCGGAAGGGCTTTAAGAAAAGACCATCGGCAATATTCAAAGCCCTTAAAGAATCGAATCCTGCTGATGCAGCAGGCTGCTAGATTTTACCGTATTGCATATCCAACACAGACCAACTTTCTACAGTGTTTGTGTGGGCCCGAAGTTTCGGAGATGTAGTCTAAGTATCAAAACTCTGGAATGTCTTCTTATAAGCAGCTGGTGATTGCTTTTGTGTGCGGCATGGTGACTGCAGGTGTCCTCGGTCACTGGAGAGAATGTTGCAAGATTGTTACGGCCGTAGGTGTAACTACAGGTGACCGTACGGCTCCTTGGGCTTCCAGCGTGGTCTCTCTTGTGCAGAGTGTCGCAATCTGCCTATCTTCACGTAGCTCTGGCCAATTTTTCTCCCCAGCCGTGTTCACACCATCGTGTCGCCTTCTCGTGCTTCTAGCTAGACTTCTCATCCATGTGAGTTATCATTTTTGTTGTGGTTCCGCTACAGGCGCTGTCTCCACCTTGAAGGCTCTTCAAAACAGACAGTCTAAAACATTTTAGGCATCTTGCATAAATCGTCAGCCCCTCGACAGCAGCAGCTGCAAAGATGATGAGCGCGTTCGGGCACCCGGCGGGTGTTTCCGTGCCGCTCCCTCTCGCCGAAGAGCTGAGAGGCAGCGCGAATCAGGGTTCCAGTTGTGAAGATGGAATTACTAGGAGGAGTGTAGCAGATATTCAGGTGTCGCCCTGTGGATTGTTCATTGCGGTCCTCACGCCTTGGGGGGTCTTTGTTTACAGTAACGGACAGTGCCGCATGCTCCTAGGTAGTTGCTCATTGCCTCGTGATTCTGAGGTGTATGGACGCCTGTGTTGTTGTTGCTGGGCGCCGGATTCCTCTGCGCTGTTTGTCAGTGCTGACCCACTGGCATGTGTATGTGTATTCTCCATTAGTGGCACGCATAATGGCAGTAGCGGGTTGCTGCAGCCACAGCTGCAAAAGCAGCTGCAGCAGGCGCCTACTGGTGTGTTCACCGGCGCATCGGCGGCTGCATCACCTGCAAAGGGGATAAGCGACCCTGTACCGACAGGAATAGCAGCAGATGCACCGGCACCGCCTGGATCAGCACCTGGTGAGGTCAGCTGGTTGTTGGAAGGGCTTGCCACAGTTGTTGACACGGGAAATCTGGCTAGTAGTGGCAGTGAAAGCTACATTGATGGCCAGGACAGTGCAGGAGAGGGAGAAGAAGAGAAGCAGATGCTGCAGCCAACGGCAGCAGAGAATGCATCCACAGCGGAGCAAGCCATGCATTCTTTCCCATCTATAATAACAGCTTACCGGCCTCCTAATACTTCCCCTGTGTCTGTCGTATTTAGCTTGTTGCTTCGGCTACCAGTCAGGCCATCCGCGCTTTGTTGCTGTTCAATGCAGCAGCAACACCTACTGCTGGCAGGCTGCAGCAGACAGCCTGCTCTTTTCTGGCTTTACTTTGGCCGACTGAAACAAGTGGTAGGGTGCCTCTACATTACTGATTTACTTAGGGTAGTCAGGCGAGCTGGTGTGTGCCCAGGCAATGCTGGCCCGCCCGTTGCAGCATTGGCTGTGGCTGCTTCCGGGGCTGCTACTACAGGTGCGGGAGGGGCAGAGTGCACATGGGCAACGAGCGCGAAGCATGGCGCTACTCTAGGGGGCAGTTTGGGCTGTTCGTGCAGTGCATGTGGTGGTCGATGCTGCTGCGCTCTTAAGCGACCTGCTTTCCAACCCACGAGAACTCCTGGAAGCTACGATCGCGCGGCAGCGGATGCGGAATTGCGCCCCAGTGGGCGCTGTAGATGCCTAGGTCGGCGCAGGCGTATAACATATCTGTTCCATCCAAAGGGGTACAGCACAGTCACCGAGCTGCTGCGTCTTCCCCCTTCTGCACAGGATATCAAGTTACTTCCGGATCTTCCGGATGATGCCCTTTTCTACAGCTCTGCTTGGAGCCCCAGGGATCCTCTGCCATGGTCGTTTCCCGCGAAAAGTGTGGGCAGAAGGAAACGTTCCCTGCGAAATGGGCGAGCTCCTCACAAATGCCGGGCTGGCAGTTCAGCAGAAAACAATAATGAGCAGCCGAATCATGACCCACACAGTGGACGTCACAGTGGACGTCGCTACCGCCGCCTCCTGCAGAGCTGGAAGTTTGGAGGGCCAGTTCTTCTTGGGAAATCTCAGAGGCATCTCAATTTTAGCGCACTAATTAGTGACAGCAGCAGCGCAAGTAGTGACATGGACGACCGCTGCACCACCATTCACAGGCACTGCAACGGCAAAAGAAGCCGTGTCCCAAACACGCCGGAGCAAAGAACGGGCATTTGCCCTTCCAGCGCTACAGACACCTGTGCGGGCCCATCCTATTTGGGTGCATACGGGTTCAATGCCTGGGGGAATCATGGAGACAGAGTCAGCGCAGCAGATGCAGCAGCAGCATACAGCAGAAGCAGCAGTGATGATAGCACATGTGTGCTTGGCTGGAGTAGGTGTTCTGCGAGACCCTTTTTCGGTGGACGGCGCCTTCAACTGTTGGAGCAGGGTAGAGAGGAGGAGTTCCGGATGTATTCTTTAACTGATGGCGCTTTGTCAGATTGTGAATGCCTGCAAGAGCGAGGCAGCAGTTGCGGGGTGCGCCAGCTCCAGCTGAATCGTCGGCTCGATATCTTGGCTGTTGTTACTGCCGCAGGCCAACTACTCCTGTTGGCATGGTGCTTCCCGTTGAGAGGCTATACGCAAATGTGGGGTAGCGGGGGAGCTGTGCCTTTAACTGGGAGTGAGGGTGCAGCCAAACATGGAAATGTGTTTGGGCAGCAGCGTTTGGACCGGCCGCATCAAGAACTGCAAAAGCCCGCCGGAGCGGCACCTAAGGCTGGCGTGGCTGACAACTTTGTCCGCCGGAGCACCGGTGGCAGGATGCTGAGCCCTACCAGTGCAGGCAGCAATCCCCGTAACCGCCGAAAGGGCTGGTGGAACATTTCCATAGGAGCGGGACTCGACGGTCGCATTTCTATAGGGCACTCTCCTCAAGAGACAGCATCCGTGGATGCACTGCCCGCGGCAGGATGCGGTGACGGCAGCAATTGCAATGCTAATAGGAAACTGAAGCCGTGGCGGCCCTTGGGGCTCCAGCTGAGGGCAAGCGCAGTGTGTTGTTGTGCTCTCAGTGGAGAGAAAAGCCTTGTAGCTGCTGGTCTGGGGAGCGGCGAGGTTGAGATTTATAGGCTTTCATGGCCTAGAACCCCAGTGCAGCGGACTTGCGACTTTCAGCAACCTCAGCAAGGGCAGCAGCGTCTCCTGACTCCTGCCCACAGGAATGTTGAGCGTGATGGGTTCACGCTTTTTCCCCATCTTCTGCATGTGCTAGCCGTTCCAGAGGACATAAAAGCAGCAGCAACAGCAGAGCGAGGGCTCGCAAGAGCGGAGCAGAGCGTCGGGGCTCTGTCGGCAGAAGGCGCCGCGTATTTGCAGCCTCAGAGTGTCCAAAGTCTGCAGTGGACTTCAGACGGCGCGGCCCTTGTGGTTAGGTGGCTGAAAGGAGGCACCGCAGTTTTTAGCCATACGGGAAGAATTCTTTTCTCACTCCCTAGCCCTCCCAGTGCTAGCATTTCTTTGGTTTCCTTTCCTGCAGCAGGTGACGCACTTGGTGGAATACTTACGACCTCTCCGCCGCTGGAGCGCCAGCAGACCTTCGTCTTCGCACGTAAAATTTCTGCAGCTTCAGCAGCAGCTGTAGCTGCAGGTGCTGCTGCAGGGTCTGGGCAGCTATGCTGTTGGATCATGGGCAGCCTCTCACTTTTACACGTTTGTTCGTCCTTCGAAGCTGTCTCTCAACTCGAACGCCAGGGTAGAGGAACCAAGACCTGCACCACTTTGCTGGTAGATAAACATCAATTCAGCGGTAGCGTTTGCCTCGATAAATTGTTAGAAGTGTCTGTCGTGCGGAGCGGATCAGTTACACCGGCAACTTCTTCAGTAGACATTTGTGGAAGCCGCTGTGCGACAGATCTGACGGACCGGTAGGCTTTTGGACGTTTAATTAATATTTAATTTGGTGTTCTCTGCCTTGTGAAAAGTCATCCTAGAAGAGACTTCTTGGCGTGAAGCACTCGAGAAGTCACAAATGCCTGTGACTGCGTTATGCGCAGGGTGCTGCTAGGTGGTTCTCACCTCCTCGTATGGAATTTTATGGGCAGAGCCAAACCATCTGCATCACTGTCATTTATTCCGCTTCCTCCTAATCTATATACAACGAGGGCGTTTCCTGTGCGACAAGCGGCTCTTTCCCCAGACGGAGCTCAGCTGCTAGTAGCTGGGACAAGAGGCTTCGCATTATTTGCCTTAATGCAGCGACGCTGGCGGCTCCTTTGTAGTGAGAGACAGGAGACTCAGGTACGAGTGGGCACCCTGCCTTTGGGGTGGTACACCAATGATATTTTTTTTGTTTCGACGCCGGCATCTAGCCCTTACGGCGCTGCTGCATCGGCAGCCGCAGCTGCAGCTGCACCGCCAGAACCGCGCAGCACATTAGGCTACCCTGAAGAAGCACCTCGTTGGCATCTTCCGGCGAAAGTACTCAGAAGGTTTGAAATCGCTTTTGCTTCTGCTGTAGACGTCTGCCCATCCAGGTTTGGTGCCCATGTGCCAATGACGATTCATGAGAAAACGGCTTGGCTGCAGCAACAGCAGCTGCAACAGCAGTTTTCATCACGCCTTTGGATGGCAGCCGTAGCCGGCAGTGGTTCCAGTGAATTGCCCTCAGTGTCCACGGCTGAAAAAGCATACAAAGTCAGCACCAATAGTAGTAGTAACAACATGTGGCGGTACTCTGTGTTATTCTTGAGTACTAATGAGCGGCTTGACCTGCGCCACCGTGTTGCAGAAATTCAGCGTCTCCCCGCCAGGCCGCAGACGTCTACCGTTTTGCCTCGACTGGAACAGCAGCCATTGCTGCGTCCAACAGTCACCCATGGGTCCCGCTGCTGCATATGCCATGCTGAAAGCAGCAATAGCGGCAGTTGCTGCATTATCTGCAGCGGTTCGGCAGCGCTGGCCCTGCGATGCCTTGCGGCAGGCAATACGGCGGAGCCTCTCCTGGCTATATACGACGCTCTGGGAATTCTCACAGCATACCAGCTACAGTGCCCGGCAAACCTTCAGCAGCAGCAGCAGCATCGGCATTATGATGTTGTAGCTCTATGGCAGCTTGATCTCACGGATTTTTGCGACAGGCCACCTCAGCAAATTCGTTTTGTGGGTTGTGCGTGGCTGTTGCTACTGTTGGTGCAATCCGGTGACTTGCTGCTTCTGCGCTTGAGTATGCCAGGAACTGGGCATGTTCATCACCACAGAACGCATCATATTCCGCAGCTCACTGTGGAGGCTTCCGCCATGATCGCTGAGGGCGTTGCTGGCTTGTGGGTGGGTGCTGAGGCTCAGCTGCGACATCACTTCTTGCTGCCGTCCGCACGCCTTTGTGTACTTCCTTCACGGCAGCAAAATCACAAGAACCAGCGGCAACAAAGGGTTCAGGAAGAGGCCGAGCATACAGCTGAGGGTATGACTGCATGCTGCTGCACCTGCTCGGATTCATTGAGGCTACCAGCACAAGCAGCTAAACATGCAGAACAAAAGAGGGAGGTGCTGCAGGATGACCAGGATGAACATGCATCGTACAGCCCGACCTCAGTTGAAAAGCACAGCAGCATTGATAGTACGCACCTTGGTTTGGCATCAGTCCCGGTAGACGGGTTGCCTAAGACCAGAGCAACTAGGTGGAGTAGTAGAAAATGTGCGAAAGTCGCTGACAGTGAAGCAGTGAATGCCTTGGAATGGCCTCTGACGACCGTGAAGCATAGAGGGAAGCCATCTGTTCCACATCCGGAGACCTGTTACACCAAAGAAACAGCAGTTATTTCAACAGTTGCACCTGAATACTGTTCCGCTTCCCGACGGCGTGTGCTGAGCAGCCCTGCAGTGCACCTGGGGCCTCTCCTGGAAAGACTTGTCGTTTTCCCTCGACCCGCCGCAGCTATTCCGCTCGTATCTGCGTGTGGCACCGGCAGCAGCAGCCACGGAGTAAGGCGCCAGCAGAAGCCGGAACAAGAACACCTTATGCACTTAGTGAGGGAAGGCTACGCTCCTCTGTCACTGCCTGTCCTTGCAGCTGAGCAACCTTGTAGAACCGCGGCTGCAACGGATAAGGCTGGGAAAGCCGCCGGAAGCGCATTGAAAGGTAGCGGTGGATCATCAGCAGCGAACACTAAGGGCCAGCACCCTAGATCACGACCCAAAATCTTTTGGGCAGCGGGGCGCCGGCAGCTTTCAGACGACTTCGAAAAAAAGTTCAAGACGCGTTGCAGGTTAGGACTGCGTTTTTTCCACCCGAAACTTTTTGGGCCGCCGGACAAGCAATTCGCACTTTTACATGTTCAGAGCTTGCAAAGGCCTAGATAAGCACAAGTAATGTTGCAGCGTCTGTGTATAACGCTGGAGTGACTGTTTACCTGCTTCCAAGAGTCTCCTTTTCTGCGCAGCCTTGAGGCATACGCCTGTGGTGCATCATGCGCTGTGCCATCGTCTGCTTCATCAGAAGGGACAGAAGCACAAACAGCTGTTGCGGCAAAGCCTTCAAGATCTCCAGAAGCTTTTGCAGCTGCTGAACGTAGAAGAGCTGCAAATTACCGCTCGGAAGGGTCCTTTTCTGACGCGGATGGCTGCATATCCAGCGGGTTTGACTCCTCTTCTGCAATTAATGGTCCTATTGTTACGCCACAACCCTGGGAAGCTCGAGCGGACAGTAAGGCTCTTTAGTTGTTGCCCGGAACTGTCGTCTCATTGCTCGCTTGCGGGCAGCCCGTTAGCGGCTGTTTTAGTACGTCCATCAGGCTGACTCTGAGGAACGAAGACCTACAGAGGTCCTTTTGGAGTAGAAGAGCTTTTTGAGTTTCATTTACATCAGATTCGAGTTGTGTACCTAATGGCGAATGCGCTTCAGAGTGTGACGTCTGCTGCTGTTGCGTTGCCGGCTGGCACATTTGGGCGCAAACAGCGGCAGGGCTCTTGCTCGCCTCCGTCAGTTTCCACTATTCTGGCACTGCAGAGGGGGCAGCGGCGGGGAATCTTTCACCGGAGCGCCTCGTAGCTGCGACTGACGTGCGCGTGAGATCTGCTCTGGTGCTGCCTGTGGAGGCGCGGCCTCAGCCTTTAAACATCACTGGAATTATTGGGGAGGTACGAAGTATGGCAATTTTAGGCGTACTGGGTTTTGCCGTCCTCTCGTCCACTTTTTTCCTAGCATGTGCGTGAAAGCTAATGTGGTTGAGTACTGGTGCGGTGAAGCATCACGTTTGTAGCAAGGTCATTTGCTTAAGTGGACTGTACGTTGCTTCTTTTTCGTGGTTTCAACGAACTCCCCGCCAGATTCTTCAACAACTTCGCTGCCAATATCGTAGGTTTAATTGCTTGTTTGGTATCTCGTTCGTTCAGCTGGGAGTGGCCATCGCGTGTGCTCCCAGCCGTGAAGCTGCGCTGGGATTTCCTTTGCATAAGCATCCGGTTACGCAGATACGTCTTCTGCTGCAGCCCTGTACTCATACACTGCTGCAAAGGCAGGTGCTAGCTGCTGCTGCGTATACTCCCACGGGTGGCGTGGCACCTGTGATCCCTCTTGGAGGATGCACAGCGGATGCTTCTGCAGACAAGCCTTCTCCAAGTTTGAACAGCTACGGAGAAAACGCCATTGACACGAGAGGGAGGAATGATGCCAGCAGCAGCTGCAGGCGGCTCTTCATAAGTGTCGCAGAGCTGCTTCGCGAACTCTTGGCGTCTCCCTTTGCGCATCATTTGTTGGAATTGTGTCAGTTTAGCCTCTTAATGCGCTGTATTTCTACCTACTTGAAAGCAGCTAAGCTGAAGCGTTTACAACTGCGCCCACACAAAGTTCACTTGCAGACCTCGCTTTACCCAAGTGCTTCTGCTGATGTGCGGGTCGTCAGCGGCATTCCTTCCTCGGCCATTGACGGCATATGCGACAAGGTTCGGGCGTCTGCTGCAGCAGCTCTTAAAAATTCATCAGAAGGCGTCGCGCTGCAGTGGTTGTTGCAGCTGCTGCAGCGGAAAGCCCCGCAGCTCTTTGTTGCTACGCTTGTTTTCTGCATGAGGAAAACAGAGCCCCTTGTGTCCCCAGCAGTCTTAGAGTCTTTGTTGCAGGAGCAGCTGCCTCCTGCGGATCCCGTAACCCTGTTTTGCTCATGCCTGCAAATAGGGCTTCTGCACACAGCTGCACTTTACTTGCTGCCAATCCAGATTGCTGAAGGACCACTGCAGGTGCTGCCTTCATTTTCTCATTTGAATGCCTTTTACAGTTGTTAGCGCTGGAATGGGCTGGGTATAGTTTGGGCATCTTAGAACCGCGATATATCAACCCCCACACCCTGGTGTGCCCCATGTGTTTGGTGACTTGTTTGTTTGCTCACAGGTGCGGTGTCGCCGGGTGCTTCCGCTTCTCCGCGCCGCCCTAGCAGCTGGAGATTTTCATTTGGTTCGTAGGCTGCTGCATTTCTTTTGGGCATTGTTTACCGGAAAGCATCAGCTACGCTCCGATAACAGACGGGGCAAGACACAGCGGCAGCTTTCGCCACAGTCTGCATGCGCAAGTTCTAACGAGGACGTACTGGAGCGAGCTCAAAAGCTTCAACCTGGGAACCACCAACAAAGCCAAAATCGCCAAAAGAGCGGAAGACGAATGCACCAGAACCTGTCGGAACTGCAGTCGTTTCTTTGGAGGCCACTACAAGCAGAATTTAATCTGAACTTTACTGGCACACAACATACAGGAGATGATGTTGAAGAGAGCTCATTAATTGATCCGTGGCTTTGTCGAGTACCTGAGGGGTTACCACCAGTGGATCGCCTAACGGCTGCACGAGTATATCGAGAAGTTGAGGTTGCAGTCACCATTGCTGCATCTTCACTACTCCGACAGCATAAGTGGCTCCAACTGTTTGACTTTGCGACCACTCTGGCGCTTGATCTTCCGGCTTGGCTGCGAAACCGTAGCAGCGACTTATTAGAGCTGCCTTGCGAGCCAAATAAGGAAATTGGCAAGCAAAAGAGTGTATCAGCAGACGCGTGGATTGTCACTTCGACTGCAGATGTACACGGATATGCAAAAAGGGAAAAGGCGGCGGATACCGATGTCTCCATTCGTTTACCCCAGGTGCTACCGCCTACATTCACTGCAGCAGTATCATCTTTTGCAGAGCAACTGTGCGTCGGCCGTGCAGCTGTCCACTTGCATCTGAGAAGACCTACTGAGCACAACAGGAGACCTCTGAAAGAACAACGCAACCAGCAGCGTTTTCTTGCCGAGCGCATGCCGCAGCCGGCACCATTTGGTGCGGCGGTATTAAGCGCAGCCTTTACTGAGTCGGGAACATGTCCATCATCTCTTTTTCCGCGATTGTGCAGCACGGGGAACAGGCAGGAGCGGGCAACAACTGAGATTGCTCGATATTTAGCAAGTGTTTTGTTACTTTCGGGATACCCAGTTTACACCCTAGCGCTGGCCTTAGCCGTACGCGACCAAAGAGCAATAGCGCAAATAATCAAGTGGTATCCTGGACTGCGTCGCCACTTCTCATTAGCAGGTTACCTGCATGATACGGCAAGTCTGAGCGGGTGATGATACCGCTGGCTGGGATGGAAACAAGGGTATGGGTAAGCACAGCAACAGCATTATCAGTAAGACGACCCCATCTGCGTAGAAACCGCATTGGGTACCGCATAGGAAACGACGTTTGTCTAGCATTCGTTGATAGAAGGGCCTGTTGTGCGATGCAGGCGGAGTTCGGCGAAGGGATACGCATCTGACAACGGGTCTTCTCCCATTTTGATAGTTCGGCCTGTATTGGAAATCAATCAGCTTTCCCTTCTACAAGTAGAAATGACTGCATTTTTGCTTATGCGCGTCTTGCGCAGCTGTTTCGTAGACGTGTGCAAATTGGACCTCGTACTTCCGCTTGCTTTGTTCCGCAAAATTGTGCGTTGTGCTATTCAACACAGCTACACTCAAGAGATATCGGAAATGGCAAGGCAGCTAACCAACAGCGTCCGCACCGCGCCACACTTTTAAACAGCCTGTATTGAAGGCAGTTCCGGCAAACGGGTGCTAGCATCACTGAAGCCTTTAAAAAAATATATTTGTTACGTGTCAGGTGCTGTCTCGAGGACGTGAGCTGCACATTACTAGTGGTGCATCTCTTCACCATGAGCATGCTCCCGTACTATCCCCAGCAATTTGCGTGCAACCGGTAGAACAAGAAACCGGATAGATCCGTTTCATAATTCCTATTCAACATTCGTGTAGGCAGGCACGTATTATGCCTGAGGATTTTGAGGACACGTCATCAGCTTTAAGAGTTCAGGCGCTCTGACAGTTCGGGCACAATGCGTGAGGATATTGAGAGCGTTGCCAGCCTTAAGAATTCGGGCCCCTCTTGCAGTTTCACGGCGTACTGCGTCTTTAGAGCGACTCCGTGTGTGAAATATCTAAAACGGCAGTCAAACCTTTTGGGCTTAGGGTAGTTTGACAGGGACGATCGGCTTCCAAGAGGCAAAAGAGGCATTTAAGTGCAAAACAAGCTTGGGCAGCCATGAGCTGTGATATTCGAGCTGTTCTTGCACAAGCAGTAGGCAAAAGTTCAAATGAGCTGGTGCAAGGGTCAGCACAATCTTGGGAGGAGTCTTGAAGTGATGCATAAGGCAGGCTGATGCTATGGTCTTCCTAGCCGTTTTCGCTATATAAATCCCACCCTGGCGCAATTCGGGCGCGCCGGCGTCTTGCCGGACCAAACAAATAATCCGAATTCGAGTCTATGCTGAAAGGCGAGTCACCGGATGCAAAACGCTACTAGGCCGTCAGCTTGATTTTTGGTCTCCTACGTAACATTCTGCATGCCAGACGTATACAGTAGGTGTAATCTCTCAGACGACAAATCAGGAGGCTCGTCACCATCCATCGGAACACTGTGACGCAAACTAAAAGTACATGAAGACTTTTAGAGCCGTTATTCCTACTGGAGGAGTAAACATGTATCCAAAGAAACTATTTATTCTCAAATATTCGGTGCATTTTTTCAAAGAGCCTAGAATGGTTTTTTGCAGTGAGCTCCGTGGCGTAAGTTTACTTCGGAGATAGCTGCTGTGCCACGTGTTGCTCACCTCGTGCCCGCTCCGTGAGCTGCTGTGCCACGTGTTGTCCACCTCGTGCCCGCTCCGTGTCCTAGATTGTAGTGCGCGGGAATACAGTGTTGCGTCGGAACGACGTCCAACGGTTGTAGCATAAAATATTACCAAATACGCGTAATTAATGAAACATCGGCTAAAGAGACCTGGCTTTTCTTGCAGATTGGGCCTAGGGTTATCTGTAGATAGGGCAGGATGTGGGACTGGCAGTCTCGCCAATGTCGCAAGTGCAGATACACTCACCACGAAACACTGGCGTTGCCACGGGGACGGGACAGCAGTACAAATAATTAGCGCACTCTTTTGACATTTTATTGCACGTTTTGGTGCCTATTAGCAATTTGCAGCCAGGGGATCCATGTAGAGGATAGGTGTAGTGCCGGGCACTACAATTGACCCTCGTTGCTACACCCGAAGACTTTCTAACGCGGAAAGCATGAGTAATATCGAATAATATTAAGGCATAAAGCACCGTAGGATAGTTGAAAACCATAAGAGAGAACAATGGGCTCATTAGCCCGCACCAG